AAGGAACAGAGAGAGAGGATGGAAGAGAGAATCCCAAGCAGGATGTACAGAGCCTGATGTGGGGCTCGAAATCACAAACCATGAGACCATGACCTAAGCCGAAATCAAGAGTTGGATGCTTACCTGACTGAGCCACTCAGGTGCCTCTGTTAAATGTCTGTTCTCCCCTGTTAAATGTTTGACTCTGAGTGCTTAGGGGGCAGAGGCCATGTCTCATTTTTAATCCCCCAAAGGCTGGGTCACTTTGTAAGCAGCTTTATCATTGTGTGGCATCCAAGAGTAAAAAACAATTCCACCTTGTAAGCAGCTTTATCATTGTGTGGCATCCAAGAGTAAACCACAATTCCAATCACAAAGAAGTTCATAAACTCTCCAAGAGACTGTGGGCAGACATTACAAACACACACACACACACACACACACACACACACACACACCCCACATACCTTCCACGCTGTTCTGGCCTTCAATGATCTGTCTCCTCAAGTCCATTCATTGACCCCCACCTTGCTCCCAATTTTCTCATCACCTCAACTCCAGCCTCACTCATGTGTTCTCTCTCCTTTCCCCTCTCCTCCAGATCTCTGCTCTCCCCTCCTCCAGTCATCTATGGCTTAATTCTTTATTATACAGTCTCCCTTGTCTTCTTCCAGTTATCTCTTCTACCCATTCTCCTGATCAGCACAATAAGGCTCTAGAAGTTTAGTATGTGGGCTCCTTACAGGAGCTAGGCATGTGAGTAGAAGGACAGAAGGAGGCTGGGAATACCTATACATTAATATTTTTGTCCTTGTCATATTCGTTTCCTTAGCACCTAGCTCTGCATTTAGTATGTATTAAGTTTTCAGTAAATAATCCATGAATAAAGAATTATTAGTCCTTACCCAAATATATCATCAGAACTGACTATGAGTACTACCCCTTTCAAGATGAGACTGGCAGACCAATAGTTTTTGTCTTACAACATTTTGGCTCTTTTAAACCTATAGGCAGAGGTTCCAGGCTCTCTGCAGCCATCTTCCATCAGGGAGGTGGTAATTCCTCCCAAGCTCTCTGTGCCTGGGATCCCAGGTCATTGGCATCCCAAGGGGTATGTGGAGGTAGAAAGCCTTGTCCTTGTGTGTCTGTCAACCAGGTGGGTGGGGCCTGCTTCATACCTTGATCCTGGCAGCTTGTTTCCTGAGTCTGGGCTCTTGTGCCTCAGTGAATGGAAGCCCTCAATAAGTCTCTTTGACCCAGAGCCCCTCACTCTGTTGATACAGTTTTTTGAGTGGGCTCTTCCTGTGATTTCCTCCCTCCCCCACCACAACCTCTGGCCTATAACTGGACTGAGTCTATTATAGTTGGCCCAGATTTTTGCCTTTTGTTGTTGATCCCCTTTTCCCTCATCTCTAGATTTACTGCCCTCCATTCGTATTCTTTTTTACAATCTCCTAGCAACCATTTGCCTAACTCTTCACTGGATGCAAACTTTGACAGTCATGCTTATATAGTTCTTGCCATCAGCTTTAGAGAGCCATGGCTCAAAGGGACGAAGGAAGATGAAAATGGTGCCTGCCATCCAGACAGCAAGGCCTGCCTATTATGGCCAAGGCTTCCTGCAGAGATTTGATTTGAAGATTAGCACTGATACATTTTGGCAAGAATACTGGCTATAAATGACTTCATAATCTGACATTAAGATATATATCTATGTTATGGTAAAAGAAGAAAAGTGATGTAAGATGGATGGAGAGTTAGGTTGAAATGGAGATAATTCCCTGAAGACATTATGACAATTCTTTAAGAAGAGAAGGCATCAGGGTAGGGCTGACAGAAAACACATTTGTTGTACAATAAAGTTTTAAATTATTCCTGACTAGGATCTTCTAAGTTCTACTGCTCCAACACTGCTCAAAATCCAATTGCGAGGTGTCTGACTCTATCAAAATCTAAGTAGAGTTTACCTATAGGCATCTGATGTGCTTTTGTTCAGATTTGTTAGTCATTAAATATTAGCCAGCACCTGGGAAAATCTTAAGATGATTTGGATAATGTGAACACTAGGAGAAGTGTTATTTTATTAATTTTTATTTTACCCAGAGTACTCTTCATTGTTTTAATGTTTCATTTACAAATAAGCTTGTCTACTCTCAGTTGTTGCTTTCCTGAATGGATCAGTGAAAGATAGTGGTGAAATGCTAGTTTAACGAGTAACACATAAGTAGGTGAGATAGTGAGAGCAGATGTGAGATAGATTCGAATACAATTGAGGACCCCCTGGGTTAACACTTTAAATGAGTCCAGAGAGTAGTGGTTTTTATTTGTTTTCCTTAAAAGAGAGAACTGGAAGATGGTGTGGTAATGGTTTTTTATGGGGAATTAGAGTTTAAGTGGGCAGAGTTGAAACAGTTGTGGGTAATGATCACATTCAGGGTGAAGCCACATGAGTGGCTGGTGAAGGGGACAGGAGGCAGCGGTCATGTGTAAGCTTGGCAGGGCTGGGGAGGAGAGTCTTACTGAGGTCCAAAGAATGTGGAACGAGTGACCAAGAGAAGGACAGAGGAAAACCATGGCCACAACAAAGGGTGGAGAGTTTTTACAACTGAATGAAGAATAAGGGTTTGCATGTGGTAATGTGGAGCCAGAAGGGTAACTAACTATGCTTTTCCCAAATCATACACTCTGGATTGTGTGAGGCTGGAAGAATAAGCATCCTCAGTCCCAGGGAAAAGGCAGGGTCCTTCAAAAATGGTCATGTTTCAGTTAAGGCAGGAGGAGAAAAGAGCCCAGTGGGAAAGTCTAATATTGAGGGAAGGGAGTTTATCAATAGATAAGGGCTCCAGAAGACCAGCAGAAAGGATTGGGTTGTGGGAAGGGAAATGCAAGAGGCTGAGCCAAGGGGGAAGATGGAGGTGATGGTACCAGGAAAAGCCAGGCCACCAGAGGGGCTGGCATCCAGGGTGGAGGTAAACTCTGTCAGTGGTAGAGAGCAAGGCAGCATTAACTAGATTGGAGAGCCTGTGTGGGCCTCCAACATAAGGAATTTCTAAGCCCCTGCAGAAGGGTGCCAGGTGATCCATGGTTAGGTGCTGCCCACTGTCTGGGTCTGGTCAGCAACGAGATGCCTTTGTCTGGAGCTCCAAAGGGTAGAACACGACTGTAAGTTTGTTTTGTGCTTTAGCATGTGCCAGCCTCAAGTAAGGAAGGTAGAATTGGTAGACCTGGGGTGAGTACCAAGTAGCCAGCTTTAAATTGTTCTTTAAACAGACCTCTTTACCCACGCCCTGGTTCTTACATGTTCTCAACATTGTGGCCCCCTAAACGAATTCTCTTGGGAGCTCCCCAGACCTGATGGCCATACTCTTGGAAAGTGCAGCAACTTGTCCTTCATTTGCTCTCTTTCAGGTGACAGACTGGTCCTCCCTGGCAGCTCTCTCTCTCTCTGAACTCCTAGCTCGCAGATATCTTTCTACCTTCTCTCCAGGAGGAGGACAAACACAAAGCAGCTCTTTGTTTAGGACTTGAAAACTCAGTGTCTCTTTTCAGCTAATTAGAAGGAAGTATTTTTCCATTCACTTCATTTTCTTACTGGAATTTCCTAACTGGAGCTGAGTAGCTTAGTTTGTATGTAAGGTTTGTTCATTAATTAACCGCATCCAGTTCTTATCAGGATTTAATATCTAACTGAACTCTGGCTAAACCAGAAAGAGGGCTCAAAATTGCTGGTAGGTTCTGCTGTGATGGGACATGACCTCCAATGTGGTGTAGCAGCTCTGTTTTCTCTGCTGGAAGTTATTCTGAAGATTTAGGCCCTCCAAGGAGTATAACCTGAAATATTTGGGGATCCTTGACAGAGATCAGGGATAGCTACCACTTTGCCTGTTTCTCTTAATGATGAAGGGGAACAATAACTCAGGATTCTCAGAGAAAATAGTCAAAAGAGTATTTTTTAAATTATTTTTTTCCCAAGTCCTTTTTATTTTCTACTCAAGAAAACACTGAATAATTGCTAACTATTGTCTTGCTGGTTTCTCTGCTATCTGATTGTGATAGGCAGAATTTTGGTCCCAAGATTTTCGATCCCTGATAATACTCCTGTGCTTATGTTATATTAATTGGCAAAAGAGGCTTTGTAGATATAATTAAGTTCACTAACCAATTGACCATAAAATAGGGAGATTATGTGAGTGAATCAAATGTAATTACATGAGCTCTTCAAAGCTGAGAGCAGAAGAGGAAGCAGAGAGATTCTGAGTATGAGAAGGATTTGATGTGCTATTGCTGGCTCTGAGATGGGGGGACACGTGCAAAACTAGGGAGAAGCCTTTTGGAGGCCTGAGTGACACTCAGCAAGCAAGCAGAAACCTCAGTCCTACAACAGCAAGGAATTGACTTTTAGGAAAAATCTGAATGAACTTGGAAGTAGATTCTACCCCTGAGCCTCTAGAAAGGAATGCAGCCTTGCTGACCCTTAGATTTGGGCCTCGTAAGACCCTAAACAGAGAACCCACTTGACCTACATGTACCTGGACTTCTGACCTACATAAATTATGAGACAATAAATATGGATTGGTCTAATTTTTAAAGTTTATGGTAATCTGTGGCAGTAATAGGATATGGTTACATGGGGTTTCTGTCTTTTATTCAGAAGGTGTGAGCCGTGAAGACCTTCCTTTCTTGGAAGGAGCTAACTAAGCAAGGGTCTTCATGGCACGGTTCTGTGGGCAAATTCGGTCACTGTGTGCAAAGTAGTGAGGTGGCTTGGCCTCTTGTTTTATAATATAGATCTGTGCAGTTCAATATGGTAGTCACTAGATGCAGATGGTTTAAACTGAAATTTAAATGAATTGAAATTAAATAAAATTTAAAACTCTGTTCCTCAGTTGTATTAGTTACATTTTAAGTGTTCAATATTCATATGTGACCAATGGCTATCAAATTGGAAAGCACAGACAGAAAATTTCCTTTATTGCAGAAACTTCTGTTGGATGGTACTGGTTGAGATGAGTCACAGTGATGACATTCAACTGCAATTTTCTCATTTGGAGCACTGAGAGGTAGGATTCCTCTACTCTCTTGTAGAACTATTACAAAGCAGAATGCATGCAAATTTCTCCCATATGAAGCAAGAAATGAATTTTGTGAAAACTTTCATGTCTCTACTTTCTTTCCTTATCACTTGCATAAATTACTTTCTGGGGATAGAAAACCATGGACTTGCAGTTGAATGCTCTGGGAATAGCAGGGACAGGGTATCAGGCCTCCCATTTTTCCAGATGAAGGAGGGGTTACAATGTGATAAATGGCCAAGAAGTACACCGGCCTTTGCTACAGGATTCTCCGAGGGTATCCTGCTACACTAGGATAAAGGTAGCTGCTGGGATAGGCCACTAAGGTTACCTGTGACACAAACAAACCCTAACAGGCTCTAGCTGTTAGATTTGCCTTTTAATTTTTTTAATGTTTATTTATTGTTGAGAGAGAAAGAGAGCAAGCGAGCGAGCAGGGGAGGGATAGAGTGTGAGTGAGACACAATTTGTGAAGCAGGCTCCAGCCTCTGAGCTGTCAGCACAGAGCCTGATGTGGGGCTCGAACTCACAAACCGTGAATTCATGACCTAAGCCTTAGCCAGAAGCCCAATTGACTGAGGCACCCAGGTACTCTTAGACTTGCCTCGTTATGTTGGTTTTCGATGTTCCAAAGTGACAGTAACCTATAAGAGAGAAAAGAGGCTTATTCTCTCAGGAGACTGAAGCATCTAGCTTTCAGATTAGACTTTTGCCTCAGGCTCAAACAACAAAGCTTGAGCTGTTAGATTTCGTAGTCAAACTCACTTGTAACTTGTGGTTGTGAACTACAGCTTGCAGCTTGGAGAGGAAAGGCACGGATGCAGGAAAGTCTGCCTCTGGGGTTAGAAGACCCGAGTCTCAATCCTGCATCCATATTGTTGTTTTACCCTAAGCTAGTTAGTGAACTTTTATGGGCCTCATTTTTTTTTATTTGTGACAACAATTAGAGGATAACAATCTCTGATCTGTGGGCTTGGTGTAGGGTTGTTGTGAGGATTAAAGGAGAGGAATGCACAGATTGTCTGCCACACTCGAGTTGCTCAGGGAATAGTAGCTAATGTTGTCACTCACACATGTGTCAGCCCTAGGTTATATCAAGAAAGACCATCCGTCTGATTCCCTGGCCAATCACAAGTACAGTCTTGTCTCTTCCTACATCACTCAGTGCTCCTAGGGCCATACCCTCAACTGGGCCATTTCAACAACTGCACCCCACACAAAAAACCAGTTCCAATATCCCACTCCTTCACTTCTACCCAAACATTCCTTTGACACATGTGTGAGTGTGAGCCTTTGATTCCTGATTCACTGATAGCTCCAACCTATCACTGGGGAAATAGAAGCAACTAGAAAAGAACTTTCACAAGCTTCTACCACCACACTTTCTTACCTTCTAGCATAGACTCTGCCTTTCCTCCTGCTTTTAGGTGAATTGGTTGTGCTTCTATGTAAGTAGGTCTCACCACCTCAGCACTAGATCCAGCCCCTCTTCCCTCGTCTAGAACTTCATTACTGCAATGTTAATCTCTCTTGCAACATTAATTTTTCCCTTTTCCCTGTATCACAAATGCTATATTTCTCACATAGAAAAAAAATCCTTCCTAGATCCCTGTCCTTGTTCAACCAGTAACTTTTTTCTTTGCTCCCCTTTATAGTGTCCTCCACTGCTATTTTCTTATACCCATGAATTCTAATGCTGGAGTGTCCCAGGATTCAGTCTTCAGAACTCCACTCTTATCTGTCTATGCTTATCCCCAAGGGGATTGACAGAGTTCCATGACTTCATTCATTCATTCATTCATTCATTCAGTTTATTTTTAATTTATTTTTTTGGGGGTGGGTAGAGAGCCGGGGAGAGGCAAAGAGACAAAAAGAGGGAGAATCCTAAGCAAGTTCTGTGCTGACAACCCAACTAAGGGCTCCATCTCACAAACTGTGGGCCAAAATCAAGAGTTGGACACTTAACCGACTGAGCCACCTAGGTGTCCCAAGTTCTATGACTTGAAATACCTTTCACATGCTGCCAAATTTCTATGTCCTGCCTGACTCTCTCTCTTGAACTACAGACTCTTATATCTAACTCTCTGGTGAACATCTCCACTGGATATCCAATAGGCATCTTAAATTTCATATGTTCAAAAATGAACTATTGATTTTTAGTCCCTAGCTTTCTTCCTGACTCAACATGAAATTCAATTCTTCCATTTGCTCTTGCTAAAAATCTTGATTTTCCTTGATTCCTCTTTTCCTATCACATACTTTACCTAGTTCATCAAAAAGCCAAAGGAGATTGGAGGAGGGAAAGATAACGGTAGAATAGCACGTGACCCCAGGCTCACCTCATCCCACAAACACAGCTAGATAATTGTCAAATCATCCTAAATACTCCAGAAATAAAAATAAATAAGTAAATAAAAGCCTGAAGACTGGCAGAACAAACTCCACAACAAGAGCCACAGAAGGGCCACATCAAAGAAGATGGACAACACTCTAAAGCAATATCCCAGTTAGTAAACTAAGGTATAAGATTGGTATGATTTGTATATATGTTAGACATGTCAGCCATGTTTTCTGACATGCCATCGACCCTTCTGAATGGCTGTCCTTCACTCACCCGTCACAACCCTACTGATGTAGAAATGAGCAACTAAAAAAGTCAGATACTCATAAATATGCCAGTGACCTATAGACATATTCTGATACATTAAAAAAAAAAAAAGAACAAAAAAGCAAAGGGAGATCAAGAGTCCCCAAAAGTCCCCTTTCACTGAGGCCAGAGAGAAGTCCTGAGTCACCAAAGAATACTCCTCTCCAGTGGCTGGAATTATTACATAACCTACGTGTACACCCTTAATTTAGCAAATATATCTGGAGCATTTATCATGTTCTAGGAGCAAGGGATATAATGACAAACAAAAACAGGTAAGATTCATGGAGCTTCCCTTCTACTGAGGAAAGACAGAAAACTTGTCAGATGGTTAAGGAAAAATATGTAAGGGTAAGGGGACAAAAAGTGATGGAAGGATTTTGTTTTAGATAGGGAGGTGGTCATGGAAGCTTCTGCAGTAAGGTGACAGTTAAGCATAGACATTTAAGCACTGAGCACAGTGAGCCATGCAGATATCTAAGAATAAATTATTCAGGTAGGAGAGGTAAGTGCAGAGGTCAGGAAGCAAAGATGTTTCCTTGGGTGTCCTAGGAACAGGAAGAAAGCCTCTGTAGTTAGAGTGAGGTGAGTGAGATGGGCGGTGATGGGAAATGAGATCAGAGAGCTGGGTTGAGAGCATGTAGGCCTTGAATTCCAAGAAAGGGAATTGGGATTTTATTCTAACAGGTAGGAAGTCCATGGAGGGTTTTGAGCTGAGGTACATCATGATCTGATGTAAATTTTAAGAGCCTGTCAGCCTGACAGGTGGGTGAAGAATGAATTCTATCAGCGAGAGAGTGGAAACCAGGAGACCAGTCAGGGGGCCTGTTCTATTAATCTAGATGCAGGAAGATGGTGCTTGACTTGGCTCATGGTTACTGTGAAGATGGCAGGAAGTACTGGATTTAGATTCATTTTGAAGGTAGAGGGGACAAGGGTTTGCTGAGCACATGGTAGGTGCACAATTTGTATTTGTTGAGTAAATGGATACACAGAACATTCTGGATTGAGGCAGGACTTTTCCCTGGACTGGATGAACTATTCCTGTCATTGACAGCCCCCCTCTGTTCTCTTTTCATGCTCATTTGCAGCTGTCTGATGATTAACACTTTGTTCCACAGCCCCTGACTCTAGGGAGGGAAGTCCTGAATGTTGAACACTAGGATATTGCCACTGGAAAATAGCTCCACCTGTAATTTAATGAATTGGAATATTGGATTAATTTATAATTCTCTTATCACTTTTCCTCAATCTGACCATTTGTCTTTGTGCTGATAAAGTTGAGCTCCAAATCTGGAAACTTAAGGCCCAAACTCTGGAACATGGTGTCCCACAGGGTCCTTTCACTCTATTGGACCCACTCTGAGCCATTAGTTGGACTCTTTTTTGGGAAGTTTCTCTCATCTTAGTAATATGGGCTTTTTTTTTTTTTAGTTACTAAAATAGTTCCTTTTTTAAAAAATAATTTATTGTCAAGTTGGTTTCCATATAACAGCTAGTGCTCATCCCCACAAGTGCCCTCCTCCATGACCATCACCCCCTTCCCCTCCACACCACCCCCATCAGCCCTCAGTTTGTTCTCAGCATTCAAGAGTCTCTCATGGTTTGTCTCCCTCCCTCTCCCCCACTATTTTTCCCATTCTTCTCCCTCATGGTCCTCCGTATGTTCCTCCTAATCCTCCTATACCTGCAAACATATGGTATTTGTCCTTCTCTGCCTGACTTATTTCGCTCAGCATAACACCCTCAAGGTCCATCCATGTTGCTACACATGGCCAGATTTCATTATTTCTCATTGCCATGTAGTATTCCATGGTATAGATAAACCACATCTTCTTGATCCATTCATCAGCTGATGGACACTTAGGCTCTTTCCATGTTTTGGCTATTGTTGAAAGTGTTGCTATCAACATTGGGGTCCATGTGCCCTATGCATCATCACTCTTGTAGCCCTTAGGTAAATGCCTAGCATTGCTATTGCTGGGCCATAGGGGAGTTCTATTGTTAATTTTATGAAGAACCTCCAAACTGTTTTCCAGAGGGGCTGCACAAGTTTACATTCCCACCAACAGTGTAGGAGGGTGCCCGTTTCTCCACATCCTCGCCAGCATCTCGTGTTCTCTGATTTGCTCATTTTAGCTACTCTGACTGGCGTGAGGTGGTATCTCAGTGTGGTTTTGATTTGTATTTCCCTGATGTTGAGGGACACTGATCATCGTTTCATGTGTCTGTTGGACATCTGGATGTCCTATTTGAAGAAGTATCTGTTTATATCTTCTGCCCATTACTTCACTCGATTATTTGTTTTCAGGTGTGGAGTTTGGTAAGTTCCTTATAGATT